TGCAAGATAAGTTGAATAAATCTTTCAAAAGAAACACAGAACATGATCTGATACATTCTTTCAAAACTGTTCACTAATATACTTGTAAAAATTCTGACCCATACAGGTCAGTAATTCTACATGGGTTTGATGATCAAGAAAAAATAAATAGAAAACAAAATAGATTGAATAATCCTCTATGTATCATCTTTCCAGAACTGAAGTGTATGAAATTTGTTGGGATATGGAGACCTAGATTAGAATTCTTTCTTGGCCTCAGTACAATGCCTCCTAAGAACTTATAAAGCATCTATTTACATGAATGGCTGCATTTAAGTTGAAGCAGTCAGGAATTTCACAGGATTACTGGTAAATGCTGGTTTTCTGGACATCAAACTTCACAGCCAAGTTTAAGAATTGTTAGTGTCTACAAACAATGCAGCTCACCTCAAATGCCTAACTTGAGGGAAGAAACTGGTATTTGCGTTTGATTATGTCTTTTTTTTTTATTCATTTGTATACAGCATCAATAAAGCTCTTTTCCACCCTAAATATTGTTGCAGTATGGTGATGCAAGTAATTGCTTTTAGTTACGTGTTTAAAGCCAAAGAATAAAGAATTATCTCACTAAAACAGTAATAACTTATTACTGAAACAACACTTTAATACAAGTCACATGGAGAAGTCTTGAAGCCAATTAATAGAGAAGCATTTCTTTATATAATTTAAGCTATTGTTAGGTTAAACAAATTACAATTCACACCTAACCACAGACAGGAGCATGTTAGGAAAGTGCAGTGGAATAAAGAAAATAGAAGATATAAGTCTGTCTGATACTCCTTTTTAAAAGACACCTCCAGCTGGGGCATGAATTCAGCATTGATTCAGGAGACATGAACTCTATCTACTAAATCAACAACAAAACTACTTGCAACAGTCCAGGTTTCACTTGGAAATCTTGCTGAAATGCCAGCCAAGCTCAGCCTTGATTAGACTGCAATGAGATCATAGCTTGAGGAGGTATAGCTGTAAGCTCTTGTAAAGCTGCTACTAAAGAGAAATTTATTTAAATGATAGATTAATCTTTCTTGAAATGCATGAACTAGAATATTCTCATATTTATTAATGTAATATGGATAAAGCTGACTGCAGAACTTCAGTGCTCCTAAGGATATTGTTAGTACAGGAAGTTAAATGACTTTCTACCCACCACCCACTTGACACTGCAAGTTGGGCATCTCAGATAAGAGCACTTTTAAAGTAAAAGTAATCAAGATAATGTAGTTATGGGAGATTTTCATGAGATTCCCTCTTGAGCACTCTGACTTTTCATTTTCATTATTTCTAATAAGACCTCCCTCTTCAGATGTTGTTTCTCTAAATAAGAGGAATATACAAAGTGAGGCTCTTGAGACTTCTAATTATTGTCCTCAAAGTTTTCATTTCACCTTTTGTTGAAATATGCATGTTGCCATGAAAAGCAAGTCCTTTCTTTCAAGATGTCAAATCAGGCAGGAACAAGCTGCCTTTGGGCAATTTTTTTGGAATGTTATCACACACACATGCAGAGATCAGAAAAAATGTAAAGCATTTTTTTAAAGGGACATTAAAATATAATGGTATGCAACACAGTGACAATGCTAAAAGACTTTTTCCTTAAATATTAGCAACACCATTTGCTCTTGGGTGGGGCAAGCATTAGACGACCAGCTATGTTTAAAGATCGAGCAAGCTGTATCATGCACCATTTTTCTCTGTACCTATTGCAGCAATAACAAAAAGGGCAAGGGAAAAAAAAAAAATCTAAAACAATTTTTAAAAAGGCTTGTGCCTGGCAGCTGAACTTGATACTCTGCTTACCTGGCTCTATTTCTGGACTATTTCTCCAAGTCTGGTTTCAGGTACAGGAAGAAAAGCTATTGTGAAATGGGGAAACCTGCCCAGCCCTAAAGTGCTGGGCCCACTGCTGGGCACCGGCACTGTGACTGTGCACTGACCTCTCCCGGGGAAAAGCACTTCCCTCACAGCATCAATCATGGAATAGTTTGGGTTGGAAGGGACCTTTAAAGGTCATCCAATGCAACCCTGCTGCAATGAGCAGGGACAAAACTCCAGCAGCTGAGCACACGCTTACACCCTTGGTAAGGCTGGACACATTTTCGCCTCTTTAGCATGCCTTGCTTTCTCTCATTATTGGCAATTTGGTGGATCAAAAGACACTTGTTTTAACTGACTTGATTTCCAGCTAAAAAATTCTCTAATAGTATTTGCTGCCAGTATTTGCCCTAGACGCTCACTATGATACCTGTAATAAAAAAATCTCCCTTCCTATCAGCAAGTGAAATAGCCACACAACCAGAAAAACAGAGAAGTGTATTACACAGAAAGTGCTGAAAAGTGAACACCATATACTTGCTCATGAATTTTTCAATTAAGGTATTTTTTGGTGCTACTTCTCCAGCAGTTGTGTCGTATATGCTAAAGAAAGCAGCAAATATTTACAAACACAGACTTCTCAGCGTTTACATAAAGGCACAACTTTCTTCAAAGGCTGATCTTTCTGAGACAGGCAGAATTTTAGAAATCCCCCTTAAGCAGCTGCTATCTGAGACTCCATTCACACCTTGTCACATTCCTCGAAGAGTTGGCAGTTGTCGTCATCCACCCTCACTTCCCCAGAGATGCTCTGGACTAGAGAGAGACAGAGCTTCATAGCCAGCTAACGCTTAAGCACAGTTTGAATCCACAAAACCAGGAGTTTTTCCACAGGTGTCTTGAAGGATTTATAGTCCACTGGGCTTTCTTGGGTCTCCAACTGACCAGCCATCACTCTTCTGAGAAGGAAGAACACATGCCACAGAGAGAAGCACTGGTGAAATGGCACCTCCTCATCCATGGCAGCCCACTGATCTCCACTCAGGAACAGAGTAACAAGTTCAGAGCTCTCCTCAGCTGAGAGGAGACAAACATTGTATCTCCTGCAAGGAGGGACTGTTTTAATCACTGTCTTTTAAGTTACTCTTCCCACCACTAGAAGCAGTACGGTAAAAAACCAAAACACCATCATGAGTAGGCTAAATCAAGCTGGAAAATTTTGCAGCTAAAAAAATCACAGTCCTGGGCACACAGGTTTCAGTCCTTGGTTTCAAAAGTAGTTCTAAGACCACCGTACCCAACAACAACAAATAAAAATACACTCCAAAATTGAAACCCAAGGATCCAGGTTACCCTCTCATTCACAGGTCTGTACAGATGGACCCGGACTGCTCTTCCACACAGCAGCACAGCTGTGTGGTTCCACTTAATTATTCCCTTGCAACAGACCCAGTTTAAAAGGTTCCCAGGCACAGACACTTCTCTCCACATACCACAGCCACATCCTCATGCCACAAATACTTACGCCTGTTACTTAATACCTAGGTAACATTATGAATAAGCATCACTGATCAGTCTTTAGATGTAGCACTTATTAGCCATTACCAGAAAGGTGGATTATTTGAATTGGTACTTAACAGCAAGCGCATACATAACAAAATAGCTCTTTTCTCCCTTTCTCAAACGCTCCCAGGTTTGCTGTTCTCTAATTCTGGACACTGGTAAGCAGCCAACACTCTTGCAGTCATTTTTCAGCCTATACATCTGACACTGACTGTTGTTCCTTGAAAACAGCACTAGGGAAGTGATTTATAAACAGATGGTTTGAAAAGTTCTCACTGGGAAAGTTCATAACACAGTTGTTTCAAGGCTGGGAGAAGGGAACCAACTAGAAAACTCACAACAAAACCAGATGAAAAATAAGATTAGTGTAATTTCTGCTGTGGATAAAACAGGACTTGTTGACCTCTGACACTCCCTGGCACTTTCAAAATGGGAACAGGCAGACTCCACAGGACTTGTAGACAAAAGCATATATATAACTTTCTGACAGATCTTGGCAAAATGTGCTTTGCTAATGCCATTTTTTTTTCACTACAACATATGGATCTATTTTCATGTGCTTTCACTGTGCAACATGAAAGCTGTCTTAACTGCAAAACCCAACAATTACTGAGAATGGGGGCTCTTAAGTCAAAACACATCCAGATGAAAAAAAAATTTCTACAAAATGTAAAGCATTTCTTTAACTTGTGTCCAGCGCTGTAAGTTTACAAGGACAAGGAAAAAAAAAAACCAAAAACAAACACAAAAGATAAAAAAAGGCAACCAGATAGTGCATATATACCCAAGCATGTCCCTCTCCACCGTCTTCGGTGCGTGGATTTGGTCACTATCCACAAGACCTTTTTGTGGAGGGAAGGGACAAACAAAGGGCTATCCTAATTACTTAGAATTTGCAAGTGCAACGGCAGCGGAGAAAATTCAGCGTCGGAGCCCGGAGTTTCAGTCTCCATACCCTCCTGCGCCAGGAGCCCGGAGAGGAAAGAGGGAGGGAGCAGCCCAGCAGAGGGTTTCGGGTCCCCCAGCCAGTTACCAGCGCCTACAAACAACGACAGCGCCGGCTTTTTACCGGGGCGTACGAGCGGCCAGGAGCGGCGGCTCGGAGGCGCCACGCTGCCTGCGCCCGGCAACCTGTTGCCCCCGGAGCCGCTGGGATGAGCCCCGCACCCTCCGGCACCGCTCCCCAGGCGCTGGCGGCGGCCGTGGGGCCCGGGAGCGCCCCCGGTCCGCGGCACCTGCGCCGGGCGCGCTGCCCCGCGGTACCCGCGCCCCGGGCTGCGGGCAGGCGGCGCGGCCGGGCTGTCAGCGCCGCGGGCACGGCAAAATGGAGCCGGACCCACCTCCCCCCCGCCCCGGCGCCGCTCACCTTGGTGATGATGAGGGGCTCCCCGTGCTCCCGTCCGCCCTTCACCGTGAAGCCCCAGGGAGCCCCGCCGGTCAGCTGCACCTCCACCAGCTTGTAGCCCTCAGCTGCCCGCTGCTCCACCATCACCATCATGGGCCCCGGTTCCACCAGCCCGGCGCCGAGCCGAGGGTCGCCGACGGCCGGGCGCTCCCGCCCGCCCCGCAGCCCCACGTCCTCCATGGAGCGCCCGTCGCCGCCGGGGCTGGCTCGCCTCTGCCGGCCGCTCCCCGCTGCGCGCCAGCCGGCGGCCGCCCGCGGAGCCACCTACCCGCCCCGCAGCGCCGGCCGGCCCGGCCCCATCGGCGGCGAGAGAGGGCTGCTCCGCCCGCCCCCTCCCCTGCCTCCTCCCCCGCAGCCCGCGGTATTGTCTCACGCCGAGGCCGGAGCCCGGCGGCGGGGGGGCGGCACCAACTTGTGGCAACTTGGCGGCGGGGCAAATGCCGCCGAGCAACGCGGGGCGCTGGGAGGAGCGCGGCGGGGATGGGCGCCCCCGCCTCCCCTTGGCCTCGGAACGTGGGCGAAACCCGCGTTTCACCAGCCGGGCAGCCGCTCGCCCCTCCCAGAGAGGGGCAGCCCCGCTGGGCGAACCCCCGGCAGAGGAGGAGGGGAGGGAGGGGAGCAGCTCCGGGCCGGCCGCCAGACAAAGGCAGCGGCGAGAACGTCCGTGAGCCCCGCGTCACCCCGGGCTGGCACCGAGGCCGTACCGTGCCTCGCAGGGGCTGCCGCACCTCCCGCCAGCCCCGTTCCCGAACAAAAGCGGCGAGCAGGTGGAGGGTGGGGTGAAAGGGCAGCCGGCGGCTGTGGCCGCCCCCGGGCAGGGACGCCCCGCCTTCGCCGTGCCAGGCGGCGGGGGGCCGGGGCTGGGAGTGCAGAGGGGGCTGGCTCTTGCCGGCTCTTCCCGTCTCGCCGCGGTGTTCGGGGAGGGGAGGCCGGGCCGTGCGGGGGGCAGGTCAGGGGGCAGCCGCAGCGGGAGCCGAGGCAGGAGGAGCTTTCCGCCGGCCCCTCCTGGCCCTGTGGGGGCTCCGGGCCGCGCTCTCACGCCCAGCCCCGGGAGCGGCGGCACCGCCCGGCCCGGCCCGGCCCGCAGGAACCGGCGGGAAACACAGGTGAAGCCTTCAGCAGAAAAATCCAATAGAGAAGAGGTTTGGAGTCCCAGATTTAAAAACAAATTTGATGGCAGAGTGCGAGGCAGGCATTGGAAGTGCTAATCTGAATGCAAATTTTGGATGGGAAATAAATGCAGGGTTTGGGTTTGCCCGATGCCTTCGCTGAGTTAGCGGTGAGGCTGGGAATGAAATACTTGGTTTTTGCAATTCTGGTGGTTGAATTGAATCACTTTATAGGAGGTTTCAGGCCTTAAATGAGGACCAGACTTGGCCTGGAGTACCAGTGTGCTAGCACACAATCTTCCTTGGCATTTCACTACCAAGCAGGCAAAATACTGTTTAAGACAGAGGGAAATTACTATCTATTTTCATTTCTGAAAGACCTCTAGGTAACCTCAAGGAACTTTTTCATGTAACAAGCTGTCTCGCGGAGGTGCCTGGTTATATGCAGTGGGATTTTAAGATTTTAAGGTTTTGTATGTTGATGTAACAGGTCACATATTTTGCTTTATGAAAGTGACCATTGAGACATTCTGATTATGTAGTTTGTTCCTCTAACTCCTGCTGCAGTTGGTTTATTTCCCATAAAACTCTCCTGCCTTGAACTAAACTTTTTTTTTTTTTTTTTTCCCTACAATACTTCCAGGATTTGCTACAGGATATTTCTTCAATACCTAAAGAAAACTTTGGGTTCAGGACTGAGAACACCTGAGTCATCAATCCCAGCAGGAGATTGGAGGAGATCTAGAAAAAACGTCAGTGTATCCCAAGTATGCACATTGAAATGAAAATAAAATAGATCACATCACTAATGAGAAGAGCAAATACTGCTTAAAAAAAAAAAAAGTCTTCTCTGTTTATAGCCCCCCATTTTCAACTGCCAAACATTAATTCTTCATTTTGAACATTTGTTGCCCATAGAAATTCAAGATTTACATTACTGTTCTGGCTTTTAGAATTGGTCTTAAAAATTCAGTATTGAAGCATGATGAAGAAATCTGAGCACATATTTTAAAACTGGAAAATCTAGATAAGGAGCTGGAAGCCATTGAAAACTGAAATTCTGCTGCTGCAGAATTACATCAGTGAAAGATGTGGACATGTAGCTCTTGGGAAAGCAGTTGCCTAAAAGAGCTGAAAGCTTTTCACACTCCTGGTTAAGAGAGACCTCAGTAAAGAAGTTTCTAGCTAATGCTTACTTAGAACCTGATAGGCTGACACAGTTGTCAAGCAGATCCTCAATTTGTGACTGACAGTTCAGAAATCAGACTTCCTTATCTTGAATGACCTTTTCGCCTTTTATTCTTTAATGTTATCAATGTTCCTAAGAGACCACAAAGTAAAGTTCTTCATACATATGTTTGACCAGCCAAAGCAATAAAGGAAATATTTTTTGTCATATTGGTCAAATTTCTCTCCATTTTTTTTTATATCCTCCCTCTCTGAAAACTGAAGCTTATTCAGAACTCAGCTGGAGACTTGTACTTTTGCTCTTCTTAAAATATTGTGATAATTTTATTACTTGAATTTATGCAGCTTCTGCCAGCTTTCATAAGGTTTCAAATAGTCATAAAGAACAAAGGACTTATTGAATGGATTCTAAAATACTACTTTTTATTTGTGTGATAAGAGAACCAATGATAACTGTATTTGCCTAACAAAAGCCTTGGTGACCAAATCCTCAGCTTTTTCTCTTGACAGATGTTTTCTGAGTACACAGAAGTTACCAGTAGAAGGTAGAAATACAAGATACATCAGGGTGCCATAAATATATCAGAGGAAGTAACAGACCACTTTTTAACACTGAGGACAGAGAATGATGCAGCTGTTACCAACAAGGTATGAAAGGGATCACTTTGTGTAAAAATGTGTGCCAAAGATACGTGTATCAAAGATGCTTCACTGTGATACACAGAAGTTACCCAAGAGCCTTCTCCTGCTGTGCAGAAGGAGCTATCAGACTTACATCCCCAGATTGCGTGTATGTGCCCTGTAAAACAAAAGCTTTCTGCAGGAAACCAGTCTCCTCCCATAGTACTTCATGTCATCCTACTTTGGTTCTTGAAGCTTAATTAACAATTTCAAGTGAAATTTTGTTTTACAGAATTTATTCAACCTTCATTCTTTCTGTTGCATGTATTGCGTATCTGTTCCCTACTTAGTCTCTGAGATTATGAAAACTATGAATAAATTACTTTATGGAGGATTTTATTTGGACAGGCACAGTATGATGTTAAGGCACAACCTGTTTCACCTTTGTGGCTGTACAAAACATACCTTGTTCCTAAGGCGCAACACCTTGCAGTGAATTGCACAGGATACCTGCAGGATGGTTCTAGAATAGGCTGGTTTACTTTCAGTCCTGAGGCATCCATTGTGCTGGACATTGCGGTGTTGGAGGGCTTTTTTCTTTCCCCAGAATTCAAGAAATTTGAGAGATGTAGAGACTCCTGACTCATATTTACAGAGTAAAGAACTGAGGTGAGGTAAGCCTTTACAACCTCCCACTTTGATACCAGCCCTTCCGAGAGCTAACCACCAAACATCGACAGGCTGATGAAGAGACAAAGCGCCTCTGCCTCAGCCATACAAAATCAAAGGCTAATGCCCTGGAGCATGCGTAGTTCTTTGACAATTTAAGTTCAGATGCCAAAAGAGAAAAGCTGATCCATGATACATATTCTGAGAGAAATACAGGATCATGGACTGGTTGGAAGGGACCTTAAAAGATTATTTAATCCAATGTCCTGTGGGCAGGGACATTTTTCACTAGATCAAGTTGCTTAAAGCCCTATCTAACCCAGCCTTGAACACTTCCAATAATGGGGCATCCACAGTTTCTCTGGGCAACCTGTTTCAGTGCCTCACCATCCTCATTGTAAATTATTTCTTTGTAAATCTACTACCTCTTCATTGCCTGTCCCTTCTGAAGAGTTCATAGCCATTGATGGCAGCCCTCCAGTCATGCAGTTCATATTCACCACGAGTGATTAGACTGTAACTTTCTAGTTGCACAGTGGCTTTCAGCTCTTTACTGTTACCAGCTCTAATGTCTCTGAAAATTATCATCAGAAAGACCAAAACAACTGAAATAGTGATAAGAAGTTCCTGCAACAGAAATGGATGGATTTTTTGATCAAGTAGTTCAAGGTTTGTCAAGCTGCTGGCAGTCTTTTGTGGAGTCTGAAAGTCCTGAGAACCTGGAGAAACAGGTTGAGTAGCAGCCCAACAGACAGACATTCTGGCATACCTGGGAACCAAGAGGCTTTCCTTTGGAAACCTGCCATGCAGCTTCTGATGGATTCAGCATAATCTTGCTCTTCTGCAAAACACTTTGATTCCAACAAATTACCCATTTTCCCAGAATGAAAAATACCATGTTGTAAAGTTCTAGCAGGATGTCGCTAATTCAGGCACCTTAAAAACCTTTCCTAAGTGTGTCTTGTTTCTCCAGTATTGCAAGTAAGGCTTCATCAGCACATAATTAGTGCTGGAGAAAACTTCAGAAGTTCTCAACCTTTCAGATATATATAACTCAAATACTTGTTGGACTCTTTGTTTCTTTACAATTAAAATAAAATCTGTGTTCTTTAGATAAAGCTTTTTATAAACCTGAAATTTGTACAAGAATACCAGTTCAGATGATACTTGGATATTTCTGTCTGCCATGATGATTTTGATTCAAACTTTGTTAAATTCTCATTCTCACAGCACATAAGCTTTGTACCTCAGAGCAATTTTCTGAGGGTAACAACATGAACTGTGGAACAAGGCTGAGAACTGATGCTGTGAGTGGCTAAGAGAAAAAACTATGACAATTTGCTAAGAATAATATTTTTGACTCAGATCTTGAGACCTATTTGACCTGTAGACAAGAAAAGTCCAGCACAGACTCCTATAATCTGCAGCCTGCTTAAGGATTTATAATTCTCACAATGCTGCATGAAAGAAAGATTGAAAATCAAAGAAAAGGGCAAATCCTCATTTGGTTGCAGAGTTAGAAGAAAGCATACACCTAGCAAGAGGAGGTGAATAGGTAACCAATTTTCCCTGGAGATGTAGTTTTCAGCTTGTAGTCAAGTTCAGGCACATGTTAAGTTCTGCCTTGGGCAATAGTTCCTCTGGTGTCAGTGTATCTGTTCCTTTTCCAGTTCCTACCTTACGTCCCTTAATCAAATCATACAACAACAGCTCTGAGTACCACTTTACAGAGAAACCAAATAGCAGAGTGAGAGCACAGAGGTTGAAATACTGGTACATGGCAGTCCATACTGTTTCATTGTCAGCAGGCTGACGAGGCAGCACTTGAACTCAGTTTGGGGGATAATATGGGCCAGGGACCATTAGTGTGAGGCCCTAAGGATGAAGCCATGCTTTTTTAGTTGTGGAAGAGTGTCCAGCAGTATATGCATATATACATTATATAGCTGCATTTGATCACATTTATGTGCATTGCAGCTTCATTAATCTGGAATTTTTTTTTTGCTTCATGAAGTTTCATAATTTCAGTGAAGCATCATTTGTAATGTTTATTCTTGCTGCCAAGTTTCTGATCATGGTATATGAGGGAGTGCTTTTCATTGTCCATCTTCTTTGATAACGCACGTTACATGATAACATTCTCTGTACAAACTGTGCTGTGGCACTCAGTCTTATGTACCATAAAACACTGACCTATTTTAATTACATGAGGGATAGCCTCAGATGCTAACAAGAGTCTTTAATGCATTTAAACTCTGATATCACAACACGTTATATCTGAATTCTGTACTTGATGAAGATGGTCAATGGAGCCAAGATGGTAATGAAAAATGCAAAGGGAGGATTTCAAATGCTCTTGCTTCAAAGGCTTTTAAAAGGTAAGATAAATAGCAAGAGGCCGGAGTATGCATGAGAGCAGACAAAAGCCTTGTGATCTGGTATTTTTCACTTGGACTTTGTCTTCATGTGCTAGCTAGTCCCAAACAGACATTTTTCTGCCTATCAGCCATGTATAAATAAATCTCTCAGTGCTTTCTATAAACAGACACAGTTTTTGCATTACAGCTGACCTTTCTACCCTCAGCTTGATTACACTGAACATGAACCATGTCCAGGTGAAGGTCATAGGATGTAGAACCTTGTGAGAGTCCATCTAAGCATGCATAAGGCATGAAGTAAATGTTCTTTTTTTGTTGCAGTGCCATAGGAGTTTGCCCTAAAGCATCAGGTGTGCTCAAGAGGCTGTGGTCCAGCAGCAGCAGATGCAGGATATTGCATGAATGTGGGGATATTAAGGATGATGTAAGGCTGGTTTGGGCATGCCCAGGAGTCCAGGGGGCAGAAGTTCTTTCTTTCTGTGAAGAGGTGCATTCCACCTCTTTCACAGACTCTTATGCCCCTTTTTGCTAAAGGTGTAGGTGTGGTCTCCTCTCAGTTCTGCTAACAGAACTGTTAACAGTTGATAGGATATTTGAGGGAATCCTTCAGAATCATACACATGAGAAAAAGTGCAACATTCAGATTACCTTTCCCTGGCTCGTGTTTGGCTTAGAAATGATGAGGCTGTGGAAGGTGTTATTTCCTTAGCCTGAATTTTGTGTAAAACAGACTCATGGCAATGGAACATTGTTAATAAAGTCGTGAGCTTTGGGGTGAGGGTTATTGCCCATCTTCTGTGTTAACATCGATCCTGTCAGAACCTCAATATTTAATTCCTTTTGAAGGTCTGAATTTGTGGAGTATTAAAGGTACACAGAGGATTACTCTTAGAACACTGCTTTTCTGGAGCTGTTTTAGGACCAACCAATTTATTGGAATTGTGCTCACAGGAAGCTGACTAATAGAAGTAGCTGATGTAGCTAAGCTGTAATATAAAAGTGTAGTGTAGCCATATTGCTCACCTGATAGGTATATCCAGTACACTGCATTGGATGCTCATTACTTTTTCCATCCTGGATGTGAAGTCCACCTCTGACAATGAAGTAGTGGTCTTTAATCCTGAAGAGCAGAAAAATCAAAAGAGTGGATCACAAATCATTTCTGCACTACAATGTTTCTGCTGCTACTACTGCATTGCCTCTGGATCCTCTAAGCAAGCTAAGTTGTGTTTTTTAGCTATCTGCTCATTTCAGAGACTTCAAGACAACAATTTGTGGAAGAGAAGGTTGCCACTTTCCTTCACCCATTCCCAGGATGCTGCAGGTCTGACAGCTGGCATGCAACGACTGCAGAGTTAAAAACCCCAGTGATACTCATGGGATTTCCAAGAGGAACATTGACTGGTGTCTGTGGTCTGAACCTGGACTGTACATTTTGTCTGATTTCCCTTCAATTACATTTGCTTACAGCATCCAACCAGACCATCTAATTGGCTATGATACACTGACATTTTTATCAACTTAATAGAGCCTTGGAGAG